CGCTTCCGAAGCTGATGCAGAAGGCACGGGAGCTGTTTCGGCGTAGCGGGTCAGGTGGTCGACAGCTGTAACTATCCATCGATTGTCCGTGACAGTCATAGGAAGCGGACCATACAGGTCAATGCCAACTACCTCGAATGGTTGCAGGAGACAAGGGAGCGGTTGTAATTGTCCACTTCGAGTTGATGTAGGTAGCTTGCGACGCTGACAAAGGGCGCATGAGGCAACGTATTTCGCGACACAGGTGGACAAGCCCGGCAAGTAGTAGTGACATCTTATGCGGTCATACGTTTTCTGGAAGCCCATGTGTCTAGCAGACATGTCGTCGTGATATGTCTTGAGGACTTGAGCCCGAAGAGACCGAGGTAGAACGGGCACCCAGCATTGACCATCAGGGTGGTAGATATGACGGTACAGGACGTGGTTGTTGAGCTTGAATTGCGTCAGCTGTCAGCGAAGACGGGCGTTAGGGGGTCGGCAAGTCTCGTCAAGACGATCCATGATGCGGCGACAGTAAGGGTCAGCACGTTGGTGAGATAAGAACGAACCACACTCGCTTGGAGAAGTTGGGTCCACAGTAGCTAATGACGAATCATGTAGGGAAGAGACGGCCGAAAGCTTCTCGAGTGCGGCAGTGGCGGGTTTGTTAAATGGCTCCGAAGAGAGCGGGCAACGCGAAAGTGCGTCGGCGTCTTGATGCTTGTTTCCCGACTTGTATGTGATCGTGAAGTCGCATTCTTTTAAGTGAAGAGTCCAGCGACCAAGGCGGCCGGATAAGTTCTTGATTGTCGAGAGCCAGCACAAGGCGTGATGGTCTGTAAACACAGTAAAGTGGCGGCCGTGGAGATACGGTCGAAACTTTTGTATCGACCATACGACCACTATGCACTCCTGTTCGGTGATGATATAATTCTTTTCGGCAGGGGTCAGTGCACGGCTCGCGTATGCGACGACTTTCTCACGTGAAGATTTGTCTCGCTGTAGGAGAATTCCACCAATGCCTCGACCACTAGCGTCTGTATGCAGGAGTGTAGGCACGGTTTCGTCGAAATGGCAGAGGACTGGTTCGGATGTGAGTGCACACTTCAGTTGGGTAAATGCCGCTTCACATTAAGAAGACCACACAAAGGTGACGCCTGATCCGAGCAACTTGTGCAATGGTGAAGCTATTGAGGCGAAGTCTCTAATGAATCGGCGAAAATAAGAAGCGCGGCCGAGGAAACTGCGCAAGTCTTTGGCTTTTTCAGGACGCGAGAAGTGTTGGACAGCGGAAATCTTGTCGGGATCGGGACGGATACCGTCCTTGCTTACGATGTGGCCTAACATTTTAATCGTCTTGCTCGCAAAACTGCACTTCTTGGTGTACAGCTGAAGGCCTGCGTTTGCAAGGCACGTAAGAACTTCGTCCAGTTGTTGCAAGTGCTGAGGGAAGGTTGACGAGAAAATGACGATATCGTCTAAATAGCACAAGCAAGTCCTCCACTTCAAGCCTCGTAAAACAGTGTCGATCATCCGTTCGAATGTTGCTGGAGCATTGCAAAGGCCGAATGGCGTGACGTTGAATTTGTACAGCCCATCTGGTGATGCAAACGCTGTCTTTTCTTTGTCATCCTCGTGCATCGGTATTTACCAGTAACCTGAACGGAGGTCTAGGCTTAAGAAGTACTCAGCACCTTGCAGTGAATCCAAAGCATCGTCTATGCGTGGCTTGGGGTAAACATCCTTGTGGGTAATCTTATTAAGTGGTCTGTAGTCTACGCAAAATCGCACGGAGCCATCTTTTTTCCTTACTAAAACAACAGGGGATGACCAAGGACTAGCGCAGGGACGTATAATGTTCCATTGCAGCATATTGGCTACATTTTGTTCCATAATCTCACGCTCGGACGAAGAGACGCGATATGGTCGACGGCGTACGATGGAAGTGCCATCGGTCTGGATACGATGCCTAATAATGGACGTCTGTCCCAGAGATGAGAAATGGGCATCAAACAATCTCCTATTCTTTTGTAGCAAGGCAAGCAACTCATCTGTCTGTGAAGAGGTCAGTTCTGGACTAATAGTCGCAGCAAGAACAGAAACGCTTGATGAACGTTTAATAGAAGGAAGGTCAGAACACACTAGCATAAGCGGGACAACAGAGACAGGTTGAGATTCAGAAACGCAAGCCATTGTGGTGTCTTTAGGAATGAGAATTTTCTCAGAAGTCTGGTTTGTAGCGTAGAGAAGTCCGGAGCCATTGTGGAATCGCGCTAGACCTGAAGCAAGGGCTATACCTTTTGCGAGACAGCGTGCAGATGGTTGGACAAACACGTCACCAGAGTCGATCACATTAGAAGTAAGGGCAACTATCCGCTGATGACCAGGTGGTAGCTCGGTATCTTCAGCAGCGAGCAAGCGATTGGGCTTGTCATCCGCTTACAGGGTATAGTCAGTTTCCATCATATGAACAACATTTTCTCGACAGCAGATGGAAGCTTTCGCCGTAGACAGAAAATCTCAGCCTAATATAAGCTGGTGGGCACACGAACTCAGCACAGCAAATTGCACAAAATGAAGACCAGCTATGAAAACACGAGCGGTGCACATAGTGGCAGGTCTAATGGCGTCCCCTTGAGCAGCGTGCAGTGTAGGTCCATCATAAGTGGTGGTGGCTTTTCGCAAACGGGAGCACAAAGAACGATCAATCACAGATAAACAAGCACGAGTGTCTATTAAAGCGTCCACGTACACACCTTCTATTAAAACAGAGATCATATTATATGGACGCACTGGAGGAATTTCTGTATTTTCGTTCGATGCAGCTTTTCCTCCAAAAGCTGCAGAGGTTAGTTTTCCGGGCGTTGGTTAGTGAATTGCTAGACAGGTCGCAATGGAGATGTGGAGCGGCGGAGGGGTGAGCGTGAGCGGCGTCTAGTAGAGCGGTAAGAACTGGTTGGCGCAGATGTCGCAGTTGGAGACGGTGAGCGACGTAGTGGCGGTTCATAAGGACGACGTTGGAAAGCGTACCAGCTAGTCCCATCATCCCGTCCGTAGGTGTCGAATCCACGATGTTCGTCCTGCTGACGCTTCCGACAGACGCGTGCAATGTGGTCCCGATAGCCGCAGTAATAACAGATTGGACAAGGCGGCCGCCACGGTGGGTGAAAGGGTTGGCTAGGCGCACTCGGAGTCAACGAAGCCAGCGGGACAGACGTCGAGTGTGTGGGCATCGGTTGTACGACGGGTGTTGATCCAGCGAGGACTTGTGCGTACGTCGGCTGGGGTCGAGGTATTGGAGAGTCTACATACGCTGGCCCAGTCATGGACGCCAACTGCTCTTTGATAACATCGCGCAAAACAGTGTTGGAGGGGGGAGGTGGACTCGGTTTCATTGAGAGGCTGAAAGATTGCAGCTCTTCCCGTATAATCGCCCGGATGATGGTACGCAATGAGGCATCAGTCGTGGTGGTGTTTTCAGCGCTGTCCGGTGGTAACCGTTGGGATTCAAGTTCCTCTAGGCGTTGGCACGTGGCAACAACGTCAGCGACTGTAGTCGGGTTTTAAATGACCAAGGCATTGAACGCGACCGTGCCGATCCCTTTCAATAGATGACGAACTCTCTCTGATTCAGACATGGACGTGTTGAAATGGTGACAGAGAGCAAGCACATCCTCTATGTAGGATGTGTAAGACTCACCGCATTGTTGCTTGCGAGCATCCAGTGTCTTTTTTGCGAGAGCTGAACGAACCCCCGGGATGCCGAAAATTTTGCGAAGCTGTTGCTTGAAACGTGTCCAGTCCGTAATGTCCGTTTCATGATTAAAAAACCATGTTTTTGCTACGCCTGTCAGATAGAAAGAAACATGGCGAAGCTTGGTAGGATCATCCCAGTTGTTAGTGAAACTCGCTCGATTGAACTGGTCCAACCCATCCTCCACATCTTCACCTCGAAATCCAGCGAACGTGGGCGGCTCACGCTGGTGCACGGTGATAATCCACGATGGATAGGCCGCGGTAGCCGGGGCCGTGGAGGTAGACGCAGAAGCGCCGGTTGGCTCGTCCTGAGACATGTTACCGGACACCTGGCACAACCGACGACCTGAGCGGAGCTCCAGGAGGCAGATCGGGCTTGGAGAGGACGGAAGATCGTAGAGCACACTCCACCACTTGTGATGTAACGGTGAAGGCAACCTTTAATGGGCCCAGAAGACACGATGAAGTTGCCACGCCCAAGGCACAGAACTCTGACAAGCCAAGTCCCCACAGCAGATGAAGATGACGACCACTCATGATGATGAATATGTCTAAAGAAAGTAGATGTGCTTAATGAATGCCTACAATATATATATATATATATATATATATATACAAACGAGGAAGTGTGATGGAGCGCCGCCAGCAGCCATTATGGCATGTCGCGGCTTCCTGCTTGCCTAACGTAGCACGCGATGCCATTACGAGCTTGCATCTTGGAAATAATCCCTCACATATTACCTGCAGGAATCACGTCTGCCAGAACGAGACCCTCGCTATAAATCAAGGAGAAAATCATGTTTTTGCCGACTTGTCCTTTACTCACGTTTAAATTACAATAATACTAAAATCACATACCCTATACTTCTTGTTGGCATCGTTGTCTGTTAGTTCACATTAGTAAACAAAAACAACCGTTTATAATTCTTTCCTTCATTTGTAACCTGGTTCTAGTTCCGACAGACTTCATGCAGGTAGTATACGAGTGATTCTTCTTAAGCGGCCACAGTGTATGAGATCTCGTAGTACGTGAGGACAAGAGGGGAAAATAGTGCTCCACAGTTGCCGTAATGGCTACAAGCGGCGCTTACCGACACTACCAGGTTGAAATGTTCATATATACCGCACAATTTGGTGGATCGCCGATCTAGCTAAGTTGATGAAGCATCGAACGCGTCATGCAAAAGCCGTTCCTGTAAGTGGCAAGTAGTCTTTCTTTTGTTCACATGTAGAGCTTTCACGGCAACACTGCGCGGAAGACATACCTGATGCCAGAAGGGGTCTTTATCGCCGTACTGGACAGCGTTCTCGAGCAGCGACTGTAGATTGGCCCTGTAGAAAGCGAACAGCCGGTTGCAGAACGTCGGATCAGAGTCGCAGTAGTTCCCGTATATGTTGGCATAATGCTGATCAGTCATAAGGCTGGTGGCCGAGCCCTCGGCGTAGCCAGCTGCGTACGCCTGCTGAGAGTCCTTGAAGCGGCCGTCTGTCTTCACAAACACTGATGCCCACCTGGTGGAAGTCGGAGAAATCACCAATAAAAACGGTAAAAGAAGAGTGCATTTTGAGAACGATTAAGTTAGATAAATGTTTTGCATCAAGTACATAACGGTAAATCAGTGGCTCAGACACTTGTCCTGCGCAGTATTTATGCCATTCGAAAGAGTACAGACAAATCATTCACCTGGTACTAATTTTAGTGATCGGCCAGGTGCTGATTGAGTAACTACACCAAACTCTTGATTCATTCGAATCGTGGCATATAATGTCATGAACTCAAACGCGCAAAGAAATTTTCAGCATACAATGTTTTGTTCGCGGAAGCTCCTGACCACGTCACAAACTTAGGCATAGGACGTTCATGTGACCGTGTACGCACACAAGGTCAGTGAAAAAGTAGAAACCATCAAAACTTACGCAGTCGTCTGCCCATGAAATATGGTCATCATAATTACGGAGGTTTTACTGTCCAAGTTGCCCTATTTTCACGAGGTTGTGTCGACGAAAAAGGTATCAGTGAAGCTGTTAAACACAAAGCTCTTTATGGGGTGAACACGTACCTAGAAAATTAAATGCCAGAATGCAAGCTATAGAGACGGCACACGACGATCACAGTCATCAGCCAGTGGTGTACATGCAAATGTCTTGGTTGGTTGATAAACTGTGAGACACGGTAACTCGTTAAAGATGTAGCTGCGCGCCCTTTGTCTCAGCAGGAACATGACTCGCTGTCTGGGCAACGTGCATTGACAAGCTATAACACGTACGTGGGGTTTACAGGACGGTCAAAGGATAAACTAAGTTTCAAAGCTCCGTATCTCCGCCAGCGGAGCAGTGTAAGCTGAACAGTGGTCACGAGAAGTAAACGCGCTGTAGTCTGATTTCGCGCTATTCTCGGTGCATCGTCTGCTACGGCGGTGTGCCGCAGCGGTTCGCCGCACTGTTGCTCGCGCTGGCTTCCCTGTTGGTCAGTTATTGAACTTGACCGTTCATTATGCTTCCAGCCAACATTCTCACGCCACATTAGTAGACTGCTTATGTGGATGCCTATAAGGTCTTCCGTATAAACTAACACAAATGCGTTGCTCATTGCAAGTTGACTAAGAATTGATGTCCTGTCTATGCGTGCGCTGTCTGCATTCGGTGTAACCGACAAGTTTGGGAAATGCTACGTGAAGGAGCATTTGCAGCATAAAAATTTGACGACGACCACTACCATTTTAACCGCTGTCATCTTGCCTAGACGAAAAAGAGCCCAAAACGTCAGTAAAAGCCTCAAAAAAGTTGAGTCACTGGACAGTACGCATGTTTTTTACTACTTACAAAAAGACTTTATTGAAGAAACAGTACGCATGCTTCTTATTTTTCACCAGAGAAGCCTTCGCGACGGCTACCAATTGAGATCAAAGTGCGAAATGTTACAGAACTTTCGCCCCCCTGCTCGCATTTTCAGCACTTTCAGAAAGTTCCTGATTGGCTGTCTTGCAAAAAAAAACAGATATTATCATCACAATGTAAGATATCGCTACTATAACCATCACGTTATCATTATTATCGGTATAACTCAAAAGTTGCTGTGGCAACCACTTGAACTCTTCTAGTACAATCAAAAATAGTTCATCAACCATGGGAATTTTGTAGAAAGCCTCTCGACGGTTTTCTCAGTTGCTTTTACAGTGAAAAGAAGGCTGCGAAAGGGATGATCTAAGCAGCCTCTTTTCAAAACACTCCATCTCAGTGGGTACAATGTCGTGTGGTTTGGACACGCCTGCTCCAGCGGTACTTGTGAGAGACGCTAGTGGACTCCTTCGCACTATGTCACTTATCCTATTTTTCTGCCGAAATACTCACGGTGTGCTACTTCCTGGTCCACTTCTCTGCACAGAGAAAAAGTGACACCGATATGTGCCACACCCCTTTAATTCTCCTAAGGCCCAGAAATGAGAACAATGCGATTGAGAAAATTATCTGGCTATTCTTGTATTATGAGAGACATGTCACAAAGTTTGGTGACTGGCAAAACACGACCACTTACATATTTTTTGTTGTTAATAAAGAAATATAGAATAAAAAAATAACTGGAAGATCACGCATAATGCGGGGATAAATGATCTGCGAAGCTTGCATCAAGAAGGTTGATGTATATGTCACGTTAAATTCACGACAACGTTACGAGGGGGACGTAAATTATTCCAGGCATTACTTCCATGTCATGACTATTAAGTTTGGACGTGTAATATATTTTCGACATCTATTCACATCACGTGATAACATATTTTATATACAGTCAGCTAGCGGAACGGCCACGAGCATGCTATAAGCGTAACATGTAGTCATGTTTTGCAAAACGCACAAGTCATTATTATCGTGTTTGTACGTCTCATTTAGAATGGTAGTGTTTTCACGTCACGTGATCCTAAAATTGGCATATGTGGGCTAGCGAAACAGCTGCAAGCGCACTATGAGCGTAGCATGTAGTCATGTTTTACATGACAGACATGTAATGATTATCATGGTTGCATCAGTCATATACCTTCGTCATCCGTTCACGTCAAGTAACACCAAATTTGGTATATAGGAAGCTAGGGAAACGGCCGCTAGAGCATCGTTAGCATGGCATGTAGTTATGTTCTTACATGACACGCATCTGATGATTATAATGTTTGCACCAGTCGTATTCCTTCGTCATCTAATCACGTCCCATAATACCAAATTTTGTAGATGTGAAGCTAGCGAAAGGACCGCACGCGCACCATTAGCGCGGCGTGAAGTAGTGATTCACGTGACATGCATGTCATACTGTTCACGTTAGGGTCTTTCACTTATGATCGCCATGCAGTCATGCCATACTATACCAGTTTTGTAATATGCCATGATAAGGAAACCATCGCAAGAGCAGCAAGTTCATGAAATGTAAATTATGACATTTATTATTTTTAGGTGTTGACTAGTCACTTATCTTCGTTATACAGTCGTGTTCTGACAAACTAATTTTGGTATTGATACTATTGACAAAACGGCCAGAAGAGCCAGTAGTCGTAGGCGTCAAGATAGATAGATAGATAGATAGATAGATAGATAGATAGATAGATAGATAGATAGATAGATAGATAGATAGATTGATAGATAGACAGACAGACAGACAGACAGACAGACAGACAGACAGACAGACAGACAGACAGATAGATAGATAGATAGATAGATAGATAGATAGATAGATAGATAGAAAGATAGATAGATAGATAGATAGATAGATAGATAGATAGATAGATACGCACCAAGTGACCAAAGTTCGCTAGAAAATGCTTCGCATTTTTAATATCCATTGATTTAAGGCAGCGAAATAGTTGACAATTGATCTAATGTCAGCGTGATGCAACTCTAAGTATTGATAGCGTTGCTCACCGCGTCCTTTTCGTCTTGCTGTTCTATTTCTGGCAGCTCCTGCAAACTGCGCACCGAGCATTCAAGGGGCGCCATGCTCAAGGGGGGGAGGGGAGGAAAGAAATAGGTGCCTTAGTTATAATATTTCCGGCTTCGATATATGGGATGGAATTTCTGGGAACAAGCGCGGAAGGGTCGCGGGTGTGAGCTGCCACTTAACGCGTGGGAACAAAGTTCTTTTCAGCAGCACATGATGGTAGTGTGTTACGATATTGTCTTTGTCACACTGAACGTCATGTACTTTGCGTTTGGCAGGGAGCTTTCTATCGTTGAGAAGCAAAGGTTGCTGCTACCTTTTAAATGGCATCGCATTTATTCGGAGGCGTGTCAGGATTATTAATATTCGTTTATATCCAATCAAGAAGAAATGATGGCACGTAAATGATTTACTTCACTACACCTGATTTAAAAGTTCTACTATTGTAGAATGGTCTCAACTTATTAGGATCGCCTGTTCACTCTCATGCGTTATTTTAGGGGCGAAGCTTTTTATAGAGGCACCCGTTCGTTCCTCGTAGTCGTAGTATTAGTCGTGGTGTGTAACCAGTCTTATATTTTGACCTCCAAGGTGGTGCCGGTGAGAGATTTCTTCTGTGTGTTGTTGAACAATAAAAAATTCGCAGCGTGCGCGTTAACTGAAAGCTGAATTCTCCTGTCTCTCATTCCCCCTTAGCAGCCATTGGCATGTACATTGAGCACTATTTGATAAGAAAGGGTTGCTACGCTGGGCGTAAGCTCCTTGGTTTTAGAAGGTTAGCGAGTGGTGGGCCGCAGTGCCATGAATACAGTGAACTAGTATATAGCATGAATTTGAGGTGGTTAGAGGTGGGAAGTATATAGACACGAAGCGCAAGCCGTAAGAAAGTGTGCGTGTGCCACCTCTCGTTTACCCCTTGGAATGTCCGCTGGATGGCGGTGCATATGCGGAATAAATGATGAGAAGATGCGAGATGGTGGTACTTAAAGTGTTGAATAGATGGACGAACGGACACACAGACAGACGCATGAACGGACTCACGGATGGCTGCACCGACGATGGACGCATGGACGGACGCAGGGGCGGATGCATGGACGAACGCAGGGACGCACAAACAGACGCACGCACGGACGGGCGAATGGACGCACGGACGGTCACACAGACGGACGCATGGACGGACGGAAGCAAGAACGAATGGACGGACGGATGCTTCACCCCACTCTCCATCATTTCCTCTGTGGATATGCTGCCATTTTTTGGTTGGAGGTTAGAACTACCTTTCAGTGTGCTTTGATCGTGCTCTCATAATAAGTTGTAGGATAAACGACTGTTGCGTCCGCTATACACATATTTGCGATGTTTGTGCGTTGTATATTATTTCAAGGTGACAGTTTTAACGAGCTCGTTTCACTAAAATTCTGGTGTCGGCTTCGCGTGCAGCATCTCCGGTTGTGAGCGAGGAATGATCATCTTGTGTGTGATTGAATGAATAAACTTTATTTGAAGTCTGACAGTTTCCTCCGAGTGAGGTGAGGGAAAAGAGGCTAAGCTCTGACCTTTTCTACCTTTCGACGTGCCTCAGGTTGCCGCTCAGATGGCCGCTCGAAGTCCTAGGACCCGCGTGGCATATTCGGCTTGCCGGACGGCCCAAAGCTGGTTGGCAAGATCGTCACTCGTGAGTGCCGCCTCACAGCGGCAGCGAAGTTGACGTAGCCAATTCGCAGCAGTGACCGTAGCCGCAGTGGCGGCTGGTCACTGCCCTCGCGTGGTCGTAGCAGCAGCAATTCGCTTCAGAGTTCCTGCACACTCCCAAAGCATGTGTGGCTATTTCCCCTCACGCATTAAAGGCGTGTTGTCGGGTATATGCTTGGATAACACAGGCGTAGGATCGCCGGGCTCGTGTACGTATTTGCTTGTAATGATCTCACAGTTACGGCCTGTCTTTTGATGAACTTGTTGTGTGGTGGTGAGTATTTGCGTCCGTTTAGCTTGTAATGTTGTGTAATGTCATTGAATGTGGTCAGCCGATCACCCCATGACCATTCCGGTCATTGCTGTTGTGTTGATAATGTCATCGCCCCGCTCTCGGAGGTAGAAGCGGCCACCGAATCGGCTGCTGCTCGGTGAGTCAGATCTCGAGCCACGGTGTGGGCCACCTGATTGCCTGCGAGTCGGACGCTGTTGTGAGCTGGGGTCCACAGCAGGAAGGCAGCACATTTTCAGTCTTGAGATACGAGGACGACGATGCCTAGGCCATCGGTCGTTGAAGCTTGGCGCCGTCCTTGTAGCCATAACTTGATTGAAGTATCCGCACCACCTAACACGAGATGCCACTGCGCGCGAAACCATGGCTGGCAGCTTGCGAGTCGCTGATCACGACCGCAGCCTCTGGTGCCACGACCAGTTCAAGAGCATCGCCGCCTCTTTGGCCGCCTCTGTCTGTTACCTACGCACCGTGGCGCCAGCGATGCATTTGCCTCTGCAATTCACAACTGTGATCACGTGAGCACGCCTTCTCTCTGGGTATCATGCTGCGTCCACGTACATCAACCTCGTCGCTGTTTCGATACATTCTTCGGAGGTCACTCACTCTTTCGTCTTGGCGCCCGACGTGCTGCGTCGGATTCATTTGCTTAGGGAGCAGCGGGAGAATGAGACGGTCGTGGACCGTAAGCGGAACCACCGTCTTCTGCCGGTGTTGTGTGTGATGCGCTATGCCTAGAGACTCGAGGATGCGCCTGTCCGTCTTGGACTTCGACAATCGCTCGTATGGTGTCATGCTGTGCGTTTCGTTCAGTTCGCCCAGGGTGTTGTGCAGGCCCAGCTCGAAGAAATCTATTAAACTTCTCAGCGCTAAAAACCTCCGACAACGAACACAAGAGACGAAGACGATCGCAGTCTTTCAACTGATTTATTACTAGTAAGACGCACAGAGATACGTTACAGAAAGGAATATAAAATAACTTGTTTACGCAGAAAATAAAAACACACAAAACAAAAAATTAAAACAGATTGAAAGAAACCAAGGGCTCAACCCGGACCCTCACGTGCCGAATTTAAATGAGCGAATTCTTTTTCCTTTAAAGCTACCGATGGATTGCTGATGCAGCTGCCAAGAGCAATTGCTGCTGCTTCAATTGAAAGTCTTGTGCTCTCGTTAGCGTGGGACGCGAGAACCCTTGCCGTTCCAAACAATAGCTGGCTCCCACCTTCGGAACAATGAGCAGCCAAAAAAATCTATCCCGCCATGCACTTCTTACTTTCTGGCAATGTTCTTGAAGTCTTACATTAAGGCACTTGACGGACTGACCTACGTACTCTAGTCAAGAAGACAGAGGTAAACCATAAACAGTCCCTGTTGCACACTCAACAAACTTTTTTGGTGCTTGATCTTGAAGTTGCTCGCAATGATTCCTACGGGACTTGTTCGAGCAGATAACTGAGGCAATTCATTCGGTGTGAAGAAACCACCGACACGCCCACTCTTTGGCCTATTTTTTGAGTTTATGCCAGATACCATGTAGATACGATATCACCTCCACCCTTTTGGGAGTTGATTCTTGTAAAGCATCCCCATCGTTACCTTCTCTTGAATTTTGGCGCAGCTGCTCACAGAAAGAAACTGGCAACGAACTGGGATAGCCCGCTGCCTCTAGATGGAGAATCTACCTGTGGAAATTTTGTTACAGTGAGTGGAAGCAAGATTTTCGTTGAAGCGTTATGTATACATGCTTTTACAATTCCACGCTTCACCATGAAGTTTGCTCTGAGAAGGCGCGAACGGCAAAATGAGCTTCTTCCCCAGTGGCTCATACGTCCAACAAACGTGCCCAGCTGAAAATGATAGCATTAAAATCTACAAACCTCAGGTAACCATTTTCTGGCAGCTCATGCGTGAGAAATCCTGTATGAGATGGTTTTTGGCCACTCATTGTTCTGAATATGGGTGCGAGCAATTGTTTAAAAAGGCAAGGGTACCCGTGTCCCACCCTAACGAAGGCACAAGACTTGTAATCGAAGCAGCACCAATCGCTCGGAACAGCTGCATCAGCAAATCATCAATAGCTTGATATGGAAGAGAATTGGGGTATATAAATTCGGCACATGAGGGTCCGGCGCGACCACGTGGTTTCTTTCAGTCTCTTTTGACGTTTTGGTTTTGTGTGTTTTCTGTTTTTCGGCTGAAGCGAGTGATCTTATCTTCTTTTTTGTAACATAAATATATGTGCGTCATGGTAGTAATAAATCAGTTGAAGGTCTGCGCTCGTCCTTCTGTCTTGTGTTCGTTGTCGGAAGTATTTCGCGCTGAGAAGTTTAATTATGAATTACCAAGTAGCCCATTATACTCTTCACTTCAGTAGATTTTAAGTTCTTCGGGCACAGTTATTTGCAGTTCCTTTACCCCCTTTTTGCTGGTGACGCTCATTTCACTTTTCCTCTGCCGGGCACGGGCTCTGACCTACTGCATTTGTGTCGGTAAGCTACCACTGGCCGTTCAGGCTGCGGTCGGCAGCCTGGTGCCGTCCGTCGGACACCTTACTGAAACTCTGAGACGAGCTCGTATATTTCAATATTTCCTGTACGTTCAAGTAGACCATGGTCTGCAAGGGTGAAAAACACGACACGAACGGACAAAGCTGATCAACCATGCTGTAGAGAGCATATAGAAACAAGAACTGCTTCTTCATCGGCACTAGAAAAGGCGTCCCCAGGAACGCTCTGCAGGAAAGCTCCACGTTGAAGAGGGATTAAGCCTTCCAGACTGCGTCTGGACAACGATAGCCCTGGCACCTAAGTTCGCTGCGGAAAAGAAAGACTCACCTGCGGGACTGCTTTTGTTAGTGTGAAACGTTCCAAGGGCTGCTCCGGACAGTGAATCTGAGAGGTGTGTTTCAGAAGGTGTTGATGCCCTCTGCCGTTGTGCGGCTGAAGAAAAGACCATTCCAGCGAGAAAGGTCATCTCCTACCTCAAAAGGAACAACCTATGTCTGCTGCCTTCAGACATAGAAGGCGGTTTTTGTGCCGTAAGGATCTTGACCTTCATGAGTAACGGCCGCGT